ACTACTCTTCTTGTATCTTGACGTCAATTATTTCGCGCCACCTCCTTTCTAACACCATTGCCTATACTTTACCTGGGAGGCTCGATAACGTAATGCACCTATAACACCTATAATTGGAGCACTCCCTGTGGTTTCCGTTCTTGAATACGTGTAAATCGACTCCCGTTCTCCAGTCTCCAACGTACTCATTGCAGTTTGACAGAAACGTGTAAGCCAGGAGATGTTTTGCTCGCCTAATGCTTTGAGTATTTCAGGGCGGATTTCATCAATTCTAGCAGCCTTTTCCCTTTTGAAGCTTTTCACAGTTTTGTAATTTCGTCTACGGAGATAGTCGTACCCGTTCCTTGCTGCTCTACAGGCGAGTTTTCCCGCGGTTACTCGGGGTTAAGGAGTTCCTTAAATTACTCTCTCGATCACGAAAAATGTGCTCATCTTTGGTAAAAGGGAGGGTGTTCAGACCTGTCCTGCAGTCCTCTTACACCGCTCTTCTTTTCATATCGATGCCGTCGAATGGTCTGCCAGAATACTTTGTTTGCCATGTCGAAAGTCGACTCCAACACTTCACCGAGCTTCTAGGATTCTAGGAATCAGCTTTGGCTTTCGTCACTGCTTTCGCTACCGCCCTGCGTTGTTCGATATGTCGCACACGAGTATAAGGCTCTTTGTTCCCAAGCCATTTATTAAATGCAGCCTTCTTGCCTTTAACTGCCAGTTGCACCTCACGTGTTCATCAGGAAGTTCTTTTCTGACCTCCACGCGGCAGGCCAACCTGCAGCATGCGGTGGCAGTCTCGAGTAAGTCGCTTCTAACTCGGTTTTCGGCACAGGGGTCATCACCGGGATCTGTTCAAATCGTCGTGCGATGTTGTCTGCAAATTTCGCTCTCTTGTTTAACGAAGATTATTTTCCCCATTTCATTCTGTTGTTGATTCTGCCACCAGATCTTCGTATGGTACTCCATTTTTTACAGCGCAGCGTGCCAACAACAAGGTGATGATCGGATGATAGCTCTCCGCTCGTCTTAGCGGGAACATCCTTTAGTGAGCGTCTTACGTCGGACGATATGATTGTCAAATCGATCATCGGCATCTGTGCACGAGCTTCCCTGTAGCAGGCATACTGATGCATTCTTCGAATCTCGAAGAAGGTGGTAATAATGGAGAGTGCAATGTTTGCACTAAACCGCAAAAAGTTCATTCCGTCATTGTTGAGGTCGCTAGGGCCGTTTTTCCAATCACCCCGTTCGTCACTTCAGTGTCTACTCCGACATGCGCATTAAAATCGCCCATGATTATAAGGGATTCTGTGTTCGACAATTCGGACAAAGCACACTGTACTTCCTCAAGGAATGAATCATATTCTCCCTCTAAATTGGACGTATAAACCTGTACGAAGGTCAACGCTTTAGCCTGTTGTAGCTTCAGTCGGAGGATTACCGCCCTTCTGCTGACAGGCGTACAATCAGTGATTCTATCTGCGAGGTTGGCTTTTGCCAGATCACCAGTACCGGCATGAGCGCGCGTCGTGTTATCGACTCCTAAATAGAATAGCTTCCATTCACTGAGGTTCACGAGTCCAGAGTCTTGGCGCTTAGTTGACGAGAGTCCAACAATGTCGAGTTGGTACTTCATGGCCTCATCGACTAACTCTTGTTCTTCCCGTCTAAACGAGGATATATTCAAATTTCCGACTGTAAGCTCCCACTGGCATTGTCGTTCTCGCGAATCGTTTTCTGACGTCCGATAATGGCATCGCGCTGTTTTCCTCCTTCGTTTAAAACGGGTAGCGACTCCGTTGCTGACTGGTATCTTCGTCATCATTCTATCGGTCTTCGTCAGCCGTTGTCATACTGCTGCGTCCCTGGCTAGTAGAGGGCGATAAGCAGGTGCCAATTGCCAATTTTTGGCAGCGTGCCTCAATCCTCTCAACAGCCTGCGCGGCTCTTGGTTACCCGGGCGACGACCCAACCGGTATAATTTTCGATGACTCGATACCATGAAAAGCAGGTAGCGAAATTTTACTGAGACTTCGCCACGGTCTCCAATCCTGCTCATATCTCAACCGGGCTAGGACCGGTACCGGCGAAGTTATCCATTATGTCTTCAGAAAGAAATCAGCCAGGTGTTTCGTTTTCAACTAAGGAATAAAAAATGCTGTGTGCAGAAATCAAACCGGAAGTTGATAAGCTTTCTAATAACGGATTAAAAGCTTGCGAATGGTTATGAAAATGAACGTTGCTTAGACCACTGTGGAGTGTAACCAAAGACTAAGAAAGGATTCTCACAGAGTTGAAAAATGGCAGTCACTAAATTCAACGGTTATTTGAAAAGGTCATGGAGTTGCTTCTGACATGGAAACATTTTCCATAATCATAACGTTAGAGTAGAGTTGATTTCTGGATCAAAACACCATACGCAACGAAGCTAAACTGGTTTTTACAAGCTAAAGGACTCCGAAAATACCTATAAAGATGAAACTTTTGTAGCCATCAATGACTGGTTTACCAGATTTAAACAGCGTTATAATTGGCCTCACACTCAAGGACTGGGGAAACGTGAGTGCAGATGGACAGTATTGCTCCAGGACCATTTTTTATGTTGACAAAACGGGCCATTTTGGAAAAAATTGCCTAGAAGAACGGTCATAGCTCGCGAGAAACAAATGTTTTCTGGATATAAAGCAGCAAAAGTTTGGCTCACAGTGAAGTTGGGTGCGAATGCTACCGATGATAGCAAGCTGATGCCATTTCTGGTCTATCGATCCAAGAATCCTAGTAATCTGAAGAATAGGTCCAAAACTGACCGTCCAGAGATGTTGAAATCCAACGGTAAGGCATAGGTCACTGCCTTAGTATTTGAAGACTGATTTGGCCACCATTTCATCCCTGAGACTGGGAGCGATTTCTGCCTTCAGAATCTGC